CCTCCCCGAAATCCTGCTGCCGTATCTGATAGGGGTAGAAGGAGGATTCATCTCAGGTACCGAAGATTAGTCCCTCCTCCCACCCCCCTCCCCTCACCCCCACATTCTCTCCTAGAGACACCAACACATTGCCTGGTCTACGATCATTCTAAAGGCTTGATTTTAAGCCACGCAGATGTTCGGACATTGCTCTTATATAAATAGGTGATATCGCAACGATGACGAGGCGGTGAGTGTCGATTCTGTTTTAGCCATAATCAGTAACTAAGACGACCAACCTGCCAAAGTTGAAGTTTATATCCAGAGCCAGTTAAGGGGGGAGATAAAAGTGGCGTTTTTTCGATTTAACACGAAGAAATCGCGATAGCGAGTTATCGCCTAAAATCCATTGGATAAGTTTACTCGCATCATAAGTTAATTTGGATAATAATTAGAAACTATTACAAATGATATTATCTTAAAAGTTAAAGCCACATTTATAACAAGGGTTCATATAAAATTAAAATTAAAAATGATTAAGTGTCAAAAGTCCTGGTTAATGAGAGAAAAAAAAAGAGAATTTCCTCACTAATGCAGGCAATGGATTTACATGATATGCAAATGCAGGAGTGCGTAGTAAATATCAAAAATTATTTCAAAAAAAAAACGAATTCCAGTTGTAATAAGTGGTTTTTGTCTAAAATATTTCCCATTTTACACGAATGCATTATTCCTAATGACTGAAGACCGCTTTAATAAGAATTAGTGAACGATAATAAAATATCAATGTACTTTCCACAGTTCTTATCTCGTGTAGAAAGCTATTCCATGTCTGAAAAAAAAACTTGGTGATGGTAATAAAAATTGGAGAACTACCACATGCCTCGCCTTGAAACCAATATCTACTGTATCAACAATTATGAATAGTAATGGCTTTAGCAATTTTCCGATGGCATAATTAGGGGTGGTTTAAGTACTCTCCCCCCCCCTACCCCCCCCCTCCCCCCNTTAAGTACTCCCCCCCCCCCTACCCCCCCCCTCCCCCCCCCAACGGGGTTCCCCATTCTCATTATTATGCAGAACAGAGGATCATTAGATGACTCCATTCAACCCACTCACCCGTCCCCCCCCCCCAGAATAATTTGACGAAGGGAGGGAAAGCAATCCTTTTTGTTGAGCAAATCATGGTATTCTATTCAGTTAAGTAGATAACTTACCATAATTAAGTGTTTCTGGATTAGGTGAGGGCGTCAGATATTGATTTATTGATTCAGCCATTATGTATATCCAGATAACTCTGTAAGAAGTAATGCAATGAAATACATCAAAGCCGAAGCATATTTGAGAGAGAGAGGTTATAGGAATTGGATATATAAACAAAAACATTTTCTGATCTCGCGAAAGGTAGCATGATGAGAATCGAAGTAATTTAGTTTATTTTTTTTTAAGCAAGCTGGGGTATTGTGATTTAAATGACAAACACGCAAATTTTTGACTCTTTGGGCAAAGGGATTCGGGCACTGGCCCTAAGTTAAAGTAACCCACACAATCGCCATGGTCATACAATGTTGACTACACTAGCAAAATATCTCGAAGTGGGAGAGATACGGGCCTTAAAAAACGCTCAAAATAATCTCAAGACTGACAAATCACTTTGTCCAGTAGACGAAAAAAGTTGACGCAAGAACCAATCGCACCCCGCCCCCTCCCTACTTCCAGCATAAATAGAGCAAGATGATAAAAATAAAACGCAACCAATTAAAAGAAAATACCGCGAATGACAATAACCGCTGTTGCCTTAACAAAATTTATGCACTCACTCCTTCCAGAGGTGCTCGCCGATCATAAAGCGCAATTAACAGGGAATAAACGGTAAGAGTAAAAATGCTACAAAGACCGGAAATGCTAATAAATCATTTTTTCCTGGTGGCAAATGACCCGGGGGTATCATTTGTCCATCAGAAGGTGGAGTAGGCCATTGTGTGTACAAAAACTGCATAAAGCCCCAGCAACTCTTGCAGCTGTCTGGGACGTAGAAGATGGGGAAGTGTGGCGATGCAAGAGTCAAGTTCACACCTGGAGCCGAACTACAAGATGCATGTGTAATAAAAGTGAGATAGATGGAAAATCCCATGTGCAGCCGCAACAACAGATGGTGTCTCTTTGTTGCCGGGTGGGGAATTCTGACATTTTACCCACCCATTCCCTATTTTTCTGCTCCCTCACTTTGTGACTCATTCCGAAATGCGCGCATTTTCTGCTTTGCCTGCGCATTAATTAGACTCACCCAAGGGGAGTCCTCCAGACAACCGTTATGTGATCTGGGGGCCCGCCCTGAGGTGCCTAGAAAGAGGACAGTCGACCCAGAATCTATCCCAGAAATTGATACACCACCATCGGCAATCTGACCTAACAACTCTCCACCTTTCCGTGGGAAACTTCGAATGGAGGCGATAATTATCACAGAGAGAGAGAGAAACAAAAATGGGTGGATAGAATGTACTGTTTTGGAGAGAGAGCGAGATAGAGAGAGTATTTGCGTAAGCAATGATGGACTGCATGAAGTAAACACATCCAACTGACTGCTGCCTCCTCATTACTTAGGCTTACTTAATTAGGCTCTCTAGAACAGAACAGACCGACTGTTTACACAAAGTCGTCGATTCCAATATTTCCAGCAGCAAAGGCTAACTTTGTGATAGAAGCGACAGCTCCCCTCCACCTCACCCCACCCCACCCCCTCACCCGACCCACTCTAATAAGTATCACTCAATGGTCATGCACTTTTCGTTTGGTATCACCAATAGGCGACCTTGAAAGTTCGACAATAATCGGTATGCCACATTGTCCACCCTGTGCACTCTAACTGCGTGGAGAAAAAAGTAAGCCAGCCTTATTTTTAAGTTGATTGAAAAGAATGATAAATGCAGTCCATCTTCTCCTTATTCTAATAATTATAATTGTAATGGTAATAGTAAAAATAAAAAAAAACAAGGGGTGTGCGATAGACTTACCTCCACGTGGTGCACCATGGATAATGTATACTCATACGGCAAAAGGTCTATTAACCGGAAGTTGACTTCAGACTTTAAACTACCCTCACCTCAATATATATCATATTCGAATACTTCCACAGTACTCACCTCAGTTTTTTTCTACCTTTGTGCCTGTCTCTTTTACATCTTTCAAACACTCTTCTGTCCCCCCCCCCCCCCCTCCTCTCGACTTTTTTTTCACTTTGATGTTCCTTCCCCTCTGTGAAGCCTGAAGACAACTAAAGGGCAAATGATAACTATCAAAACGCCTGCCATTTGATATAAATCTTCTTAGTCTATCAATGTGGTATTTGTTTTGACAGGAGATACGAGAAGCGCCGATAGAGTATCGGGCTGACTAATTCATAACATGCGGGTTAGGGGGAAGATGGAGGAGGAGAAGGAGGAGGAAAAATGGGTCTCACAGTTAAAGAGTTAATGAACTCCCCGTTTCGTGAGAAATTTATATTGATTAAATTCGGTGTCACATCTTCTAACGATGAACGAAATAATCAATGCGTTACTGAAGGAGAAGAATAGTAGCTCCTTTTTGCAATAAATGATTAGCATAAAAATCATTCGGGGTTCTAAATCATGAAAAAGATGCTCAAATTATTCCAAAGAATTCAGTTAATTGAAACTAGCAAGGGGAAGTACAATCTGGAATGATTACGTAACACGTATATCAGTTATGAACTCATCGATAAATTCCGAAAACCGGGATATAAAAAAAAGAATATTGAGCATGAAAAACATCAGTTGGAAAATGTACATGACAAATACTTAGGGAAAACAAAAAAGTAAAGATTAACGAAACAACACCTACCGAAAACGCCCGTTTATTGAAATGTTAGACATTGGAGAGAAAAAAAGAATATATGGTGGCAAACTCAGCCAACGAGAAGTGTGACTCTCTAAATGACCAACCAAATCAGCGCGCTTAAACCAAAATCGCGGAGGTGCGCAGGTAGACTGACCAATGAAAAACCAGAAATTAATTTCGGTGTCGATGGTTTCTGTGTTTACAATAAATGAAATGATTTCTTGTAAACTTTAAGATGCACACAAATAATTGTCTGGTTTCGGCTTCGCTTTAACAGACATTGATTGACGATTGAGCTTGCAATGCACTCTAGTCGAGACCGATGCACTGTCTTGATCGATTTTTTATTGCCAATAAATTTCGAAGTTAGCAGTCGTTTCAGCAATTACCGCATTTAATGTG